TTTTTTTTTTTATCATTTAATAATTAATTTTGAAAGCACCCGGAAATTGTAAATAAAACGCAAAATATTTATATTTTCATCAATATTTATTTTGTCGTCTTCCAAGCTGTCCCTATCAGTTGTAATGCACTTATGCCAACAGCGAAATTTATTTTATATCTTCGATTGCYTGAAGACGTGTTCCACGGAGCGGCAATTTAAGTTTGAGGAAGAAGAAAAAATCACACGAAGGCAAATCTGGTGAATATGGTGGCTAATCGATGGTATGCATTACGTTTTTAGCTTCAAGTTCGGTCACAATCGTGGCTCGATGCCGATGATGATGCGACGAACAACGAATATCGAAAAAAAACATGAGTATCACCATTATTTTTGTGCGGTTCTGACGTGTTTTTATATATATTTTTTTTGTTCCTTCCCTCCATTCTGATGATTGCTGCCTTGTTAGCATGTCAAACCCATAAACCCATGTCTCAGCGGCAGTTATAATACTTTTCAAGAATGTGGGATCGGAATTCGCACAATCACACATGTCCAAAGAGACCTGTTTGCTGCGGTACTTTTATTGAAAAAACTCAGCATTATCGAGACGGTTCGAAGAAAAATGCGTTTCAAACCCAAAATATCCACCAAAATCATGCGAATGGACTCGCGAGAGTTGTAGAGCTCTCTTGCCATCTCTCTAACACTTGCGTGACAATTTTCAAGCACCACACCCTTCACCTTTTTTAATATTTTCATCAGTTGAAGAGTTCGAAGGTGGTTCAGAAAGAGGCATGTTTTCAACGATCTTTCGACCGTCTTTGAAGGCTTTGTACCACTCATAGGCTTGTGGTTTTTAATTAAACTGAATTACCGTAATTATTTCATCCACTGTCATATATCGTCGCAAATGCTCGGGCTTACGTTTGAACATCTCCGAACACTGCTCCGAATAATCAACTCCTCGTCCGACAGCTATCGTCTAGTCCCTAAAACTGCGAAATTTTCTAAATAGTCCTATATAGAAGCATAGAAAGTTTCGCATATACGCATACTTTCCTTTACCTTTTCCATATTTTGTCGTTACTTATTACCTATCTGTGTCGCAAGTGATGCCTTTGGCTTATGACCAGTCATTCTCCCAACAAGCGCCCTGTAGCGCTTTCGAGACTATATGACCAAAAAGCATGAATATTTTCCACATAATCTTGGCAATGGTGCATATTCTCAAGATGTTCCGTCTCGCCCTAATCCCTCTTTTAGTAACTTCCGTATTTCCTATACTGGTTGGGTAGCCAGTCGGTTGGCAATCTCATCAGTTATTTCGTCTCCCGGAGTTCCTTTGTGTCCTGGAACCCAGCATGTTTCTAAACATATTCTCTGAGGTAATGCGACGCGAAATTGTTACCCTAATTGGCGCTTGGCTATACGCATATCTATACATATATTGCTGTTCCTTATCTTGTTTTCAGCATTGTTAGCTAACTCAGACGTTTTTCTGAGCGCAAAAGTTCTTGGACTCAGTATTCGGAAAGCTTGACGGGTCACCTGAGTTCCGGCTCCGTGCAATAGACTTCGGCTCCCATTCCATTAGCCATATTTGATCCGTCTGTATGTATAAGGTAAGTTTCGCTAGCCAGTCGCATATTCCAACGCCATCTATCCTCTTTTAGTTTAATTTGAATACAGCTTTCCCAAATGGAGTGTGAGCGTATTTGATTTATTATTATTTAACAGCACCTTTCTTGAAGAGAATCCACCTAACGCCGCCAATATTGCAGTTGATATTGCTGTAGAGCTATCCCCTGCAATGTCGACTGGTGGAGTTTGAGTAACCCTTCTAGCGTACCCGTTGGCGTGGTTCTTAGCGCTCCTGTTATGTACGCTAATAAGTCTATTAGTTTTTGAGATACCGATCTGAAATTTCGCACACGTCCTTCTATGACCAAAAAGCTGCTTATTTGTCGCAGCCGCTGATATCGGACTTCAATAGCATAGAGTTGCCATGTAAACTGACCGATTGTAATCAAGTTCTGGTAAGGAAAGCTTTCTTATTTGACGAGTTATCTTCACAAAATTTCACTTGGGTTATTGTATAAGACCATAATGCAATATCCTAAGAAATTATTCGGTTCGGATGACTATAGCATAAAGCTGCCATACAAACTGTACGATCGGTTTCAAGTGCTTGTATGGAAAACTTCTTTATTTGACGAGATATTTTTTACCAGATTTGGCATGAGTTATTCTCTCAGACACTGGTATAGTTTTCAATGAAATTGTACAGATCGTATCATTATAGCATATATGTATGTAGCTATCATGCAAACTGAACGATTTCTTATTTTATTTGAATTTGATTTTTTTTTTATGTAAATATATTTTATTTTTTGAAGTTAATATATTTTTTCTTCAATATTTAATTATTTGGTTTTCCTTTTAACTGTTTCTTTTTATTTATTACTGTTAGTCTTGCCGCAGCATTGATTTGCCAGCGCTTCCCTAACTCGTTTATGTTCCATTCAACACGTGCTGAAGACGTTYAATTCAGTATGTTTCTGATGAAACCACTTTCGGTTTTA